TTCTTCTTCCTCTTTTACGTGAAAAAGCCTTCAACCCTAGCTAAAGGTAAGTTTCCAAATTAATGATTTATTCCTTCAAGTTTTGTTAGTTATCAAATCCTTGCCTATGATGGAAAGTTAATAAAAGTTTAGAGGGGATTAAAACTAAGTTAAGAATGAGATATTAAAGATTAAAGAAAATGGATTTTATAATGGTATGTTAATATATGAAGGTTTAGGGACGTTTGTTGGTAAAATTGACTTGTCAAGAAGGTAAATGAAATATTAGAAGCATTTGTTGAGTGAAATAACAAGTTAGAAATTATGGTGTGATTCTTAAAATCAAATGCTCTTGAGGAATATTAGATGTTTTAAGTGGTTAAATGAAGGAAAGTTATTAAGGTTAAGTTGAGAAGTGTTATATAGTATTGTTAGGGGTAAAGGAGATGAAAATTGGCCCAAAATTGGGTAAATTTCGAGAGGAAAATTGTAAAATCTGGGTAGGGGTATCGGTACCCTATGGAACAGTATCGATACCCTAGGCAAGAATTAGGCTAAATTATATAAGAGGTATCGATATTGATTCAACCAGTATCGGTACCCAAGCAATGGGCATCGATACCATGGTAAGGGTATCGATACCAGTAAACATCGAATCTAATTTTGGTATCGATACCTAGAGGGAGTATTGATACCATAGCATAGCATAGGGGTATCGATACTATGGTGAGGGTATCGATACCAGGCTATATCGAAGCTAATTTTGGTATTGATACATGAAGGGGGTATTGATACCCTAATAGGGTAGTATCGATACCATAAGCAGGGGAATCGATACCAAAGGGCCAGAAATGTTAATTTGGAGCTTATAATGTTGTAGGAAGTTAATAATAAATATTTTTTATTAATGTTAAGTTATAATTGTTAGGAAAAATATTAACAATTAATATTATGCATGTCTTTAATGAATATGGAATAGATCACAAAAAAGCTCCTGAGTCGAGTAAGTCGAAAGGCAAGGGTCAAGTTCCGGAATAATTATCTTCTCATTTTAGATATCTAAGCAAGGCGAACCAGGTGAGTACATTTTATGATATGCAATCTAGATGAAAATGATTATCAATTATTTAAGAAGATTTGTTTTATTGTTAGTGTATGCTTAATTGTAATTACTATGTTTATTGAATATATTGAAATGATATTGTGTATGAGTTGTTCTAAAAGAAATGAAAATAATAATGCATATGGGTGCATTGTTGGCATGAAAGGATGCCCTAGTTGAAATGTATATGGGTACATTATCAACAGAAAAGCATAATTTGGTTGAAATGCATATGAATGCATTATCAACAGAAAGTATGCTAGAGTTGAAATGCATATGGGTGCATTATCAACAGAAGAGCATGCTAAAGTTGAAATGTATATGGGTACATTATCAACAGAATAATATACTATGGTTGAAATGTATATGGGTACATTATCAACAGAAAAGTATACTATAGTTGAAATGCATATGGGTACATTATCAATAGAAAAGATGTTATAACTTAAAGTACATAATGGTGTATTATAAACATAAATGAATGTTACAAACGAAAAGAAAAGAATCATAACAAATGATTATGATAAATGGGAAATATAATATGTATAGATATATAAAGGTTATTTATTGCATTATGACTCACTAAGATATATTTAACGTGTGTATTTCCACGCGTAGGTAGCAGCAGAATTAACCAAGTAAAGGGGTAAAGTCATAACATCATATATCATTCACCAAGGTTGATTCACCAGTAACAATAGGACGGTAGTGATCCTTTTGTAAACTTATTGGCATGTAATTAAACTTAATATAACATTTTGTGATGTGTTTTTTATGAATACTTAATTATTATGTCTATTTATATGGAATGCAACAAAATTTTAAAGATTTTTCAAAATTAGTAAATTGTTTTTAAAGTAATGTGACATTTGTATACGTGTATAGAAACATATGTATGTATATGGGTGTTACAGTTACCGAGAACATATAAGGTGTACCCACATACTTTAATATTTAATAAATCTGGGAACACTAACTTACACAGTGTAAAATTCTTTAGTTTTACACAGATTTAGAATTGTTGAATGAGTAAAAATAGATGGTTGAGATTGACTCATTGTTTTTTTGTTTCCATTGAATATTTTCTCATTTTCTACTATTAATTTTAGTCATCTATTTTCACTCATCCAACGGTCCATATATATGGAATGGGATCTGTTACACAATGTAGAACTCTTTTAGTTTTACACAGATTTAGGATTGTTGGATGAGTGAAAATAGATAGTTGAGATTGACTCCTTGTTTTTTTATTTCCAATGAATATCTTTTCATTTCCTATAGTTAATCTCAATTATCTATTTCTATTTATCCAATGGTCATATATATATATATATATATATATATATATATATATATATATATATATATATATATATATATATATATATATATATATATATATATATATGAGATAAGATCCAATTACGCAATGTAAAGTTTTTTTAGTTTTATATAGATTTAAGACCATTTGATGAGTGAAAATCGAGGGTTGAGATTAACAATAGAAAATAAGAAAATATTCACTAAGGAAAAAACAAGGAGTTAGTCTCAGATATCTATCTTCGCTCATCCAATTATGTGTAAAACTATATATACATATAACTTTTCAACATGAACTTGGGTCAAGGCTCTCTCTTGAATAGGAAGACTCCCATTCTAAACATGGACTTCTTGGGCCTATACATAACTTTTCAGAAAAGGTTAAACTACATGACGGGCCCTTGTATCATAATTTGTGTGATTAATATTATCATCAAAATATAAAATTTTATATATATGATATAAATGATGGGAAATGAATAATTTTGTTCACAATCATTTTTGACTCGAAAATATTTTCTACAAGCTGGGACCAAAATGTGCTAGGACTAGGGGTGGCTTAGAATATAAACCCTAATAATCCAAACTCGAAACCTTAATCCTAAGATCATAATACATAAAAACTCTACATTTTAAACTATAAATTCTAATTCTAAATGTTAAATCATAACACTTTCTCTACTATTATTATTCCTTAATTTTATTTAATTAATTAACATAGAAGTGAGATATTTAGGTTTAAAATATTGTGAAAATAGCATTTATCTATAATTAGCATTTGACATTTAGGATTTAGAATAGAAAGTTCAAAGTATTATAATTATTAGAGATTTTAAAAAATCTATAACCGATGTTTCAAATAAGTATTTTATAATTAATCTCTTATAAATTTTAATAGAGATGAGTAAAACTTGATTAGATTAAAAAAATAATATTGATTAAATCTATAATTAGCATTTGACATTAGATTCAGTAAATAATATTAGAAGTTCGAATTCTAATGTTAATAATAGAGATGAGTAAAACTTGATTAGATTAAAAAAATTGCTCAACTCGACTTGACTAAAAATTCAAAGAGTTTGAATACTGAAGTATGACTTATCAATTTGACTAACTTGAATTTTTTTTAACTCGATTCAACTTGATTCAATCAAATTTTCACCCCTAATTCTTTCTACCTCTAATTCATCCTTCATTTCATGTCTATTTTTGATCAAATTTGAATTACATATTCCTCTACCACGATGTAACATATGTATAACTAAAATTCCTATTTTTAACCCAAAAAAATATTTTTACAATTTAATCCCTCAATTTTACATTTTATTCAATTTTATTTATATTATATATATATTTTACAAATTTTTTCTCCCATCAATTCCTTGATTCCTTTATACTTTCATCAATACTTTATCCTCAAAATACATTCTTTTAAAAAATAAAATTGTAAATATATTTTATAATTTTAAATGTAATTTGATTTATTAAATAATATTGTATTGTGAAAAAGAATATGAAGAAATATATATTTATATATTATATGATTAGAGAAAATTGTTAAATTGGACCAACCCGCACCATAACATTATAAATATTTATTGTTAAATTTAAATTGAAATTTAAAAACTTGACTCGAATTTTATAAACTCGGCTAGTTTATTTTAAAATAATGTTTGGATGCTAAAACATGCCTCATCAACTCGACTAATTAAAAGAAATGATGTGACTCAATCCAATCGAGTACTCACCCCTAATTATGAATGGATTAACCATTCGTAAGTTTCTACGATATTCAATTTAAATTAGTTAATCAATGAATCAAATATGTACTAAAATATTAACTCTTGGGGTCAAAATTTTCATCCTGATAACGCATGTATTAACTCTAAGATGGTGATGGTAATGTGGATAAGATACTTTGCTGATATTACGGAACAATGAGAAAAGCGGAACACCATTTTCACATATTTCTCATTAGCTAGCTTACTATACCATGTTAGCAAGTCAATAAAAGACGTCCAAATTAATTCTCAAGAAATGTAGGCCAATACATGTTCCATTAATCTCTTATGGATCTGCAAATTATGGACCTATTAATAACGTTGAAATATTCACAAGTATAATTAAAATTTAGATTATACATTATTGTATCTTATATAAATTTAAAATTAGAATTCACTAAGTGATTTCAGTGGTAAAAAAAAGAGTATTGTGTTCTTTTGAGGTCTCGAATTCGAGCAGTTGCATTTATATGGTATATGTGAATTCATTTTCAATTGATTAAGATACTATATTGTAATTACGCTAAACTAATAATCAAATTTAGAGTTTTTCTACTATATCCTACCGTTTATAAAGTAACGGCAAGGAGGTATTCAATGAAATTGACTCTGATTATGAGGTACTTGAATTTGTTGAGGGTTGATTAACTATTTAAACTGCCAATACGACTCCCCAGGACTTGAAAAAAAACATACCCTGAAATTACGAGTGATTTGGACCCACATAGTTGGATTAATCACGCCATACGTCCCGGCTTTTACCCTTTATATAAACTCCCCCACCATTGAACAATGCGTAGCCTCCCACTATATCCCAAATGGAACTCTCAACACTTTCATTCATCTTTCACATTCTCTTCATTTCCCTCCATCTTGCTTCTTCCTCACCAGTTCAAGACCCTGAGTTTGTTGTCGATGAAGTTCACAAGTAATTCATATATATATATATATATATATATATATATATATACACTTACATACACGTATTCTTGTAATGTATATGTATTGTATAAGATTAATATATACTTTGTAATGTATTCATTTGCAGGAGTATCAATGCTTCGAGGAGGAGCTTGGGTTACTTGTCTTGTGGAACGGGGAACCCCATTGATGATTGTTGGAGGTGTGACACTAACTGGGAGAGGAACCGCCAAAGGTTAGCCAATTGTGCCATCGGATTCGGGAAGAATGCCATGGGAGGAAAGAATGGTCGAATCTACGTCGTTACCGACTCTGGCAATGATGACCCCGTGAACCCTAGGCCGGGTACATTGAGGCATGCGGTGATCCAGGACGAGCCGTTGTGGATCATTTTCAAGAGGGATATGGTGATTACGTTGAAAGAGGAGTTGGTGATGAACTCTTTTAAGACGATCGATGGTCGAGGTGTGAACGTTCATATTTCTGGCGGACCGTGTATCACCATTCATTATGCTTCGAACATCATCATCCACGGAATCAACATACATGATTGTAAACCGGGACCGAGTGCGATTATAAGAGACTCTCCCCAACACGCGGGGCACTGGAGACAATCAGACGGTGACGGTGTGGTCATCTTCAGCAGCAAGCATGTATGGATTGACCATTGTTCGTTGTCGAATTGCAATGATGGGCTCATCGATGTCATCCATGGATCCACCGCCGTGACCATATCGAACAACTACATGACCCATCATGATAAAGTCATGCTTCTGGGCCACAATGATGCCTATACGCAGGACAAAAACATGCAAGTCACTGTTGCCTTTAACCATTTCGGGGAAGGACTAGTTCAAAGAATGCCGAGGTTAGTTTTGAATCGGTTATACTTTAGATTTTCAACTAAAATGGTAGTTGTTCAAATTTGGATTTTCTAAAACAAATACTAATTTCTTTTACTATTAAGATCATTCAATGAATTTCGGTCCAATTTTCAAATTTATATATTATTTTAAATTGCAGGTGTAGGCACGGATATTTCCACATCGTGAACAACGACTACACTCATTGGGAAATGTACGCCATTGGTGGGAGTGCAAACCCTACTATCAACAGCCAAGGAAATAGATTTCTAGCACCCAATGATAGATCAAAGAAAGAGGTAATTTCAAACAACTCATCATCCATTTACACAATTACACTCATACATATATAGGATGGACCTAAAAGAGGCGGTTACTTAACATAAAAAATATTACGTCCATCCTTATATATATTTATATAATGGTTTGAGATCATGAAAATGTAATGACGTTGTGTAGGTGACGAAGCATGAGGATGCACCGGAGAGTGAGTGGAGAAGCTGGAACTGGAGATCCGAAGGGGACATGATGTTAAACGGAGCGTTTTTCAGGCAAACCGGCCATGCTGGTGCATCATCGACCTTTGCTAGGGCTTCGAGCCTAAGTGCTAGACCATCTTCACTTGTGGCTACAATGACAGTCACTGCTGGTTCACTCAACTGTAGGAAGGGCTCCCACTGCTAGCTTTGAAAACCTTATGACTAGCGGTTTAAGAAGTATTTTTATTTCTAGTTTTCCCTTTTTTTGGCCTAATTTTAAAGATGATTAAGAATGTAATGAAACGACAACCTCTGCATGTTGACTGAAATTAAATCCTATCGTTAATTTGTACTAGTTTACTGTATGATGGAGCAAAGCATGCAACTGCAGTTTAGCGTTGATTTAATGTTATCCTCTATATTTGTCTAAAGAATACTTTTTTTTCCATTATAGTGACTGTCTTTATCATTTATTTATTTTTTATGAAAGGGAAAAAAGTTGTTTGGAATCGAATTCAAAATTCTACCAGCCAAAATGAAGATAATGTTTCTTATAATATCATAACATCATATAATTTTTTGATACTATCAATGAATCAAATCATATATACTTTCTTCATCTCATTATTTTTATCCTATAACGTTATATTTAACTTCATGTTAAGTTATGTGAAAGGGGGAAAATGATAAAATTATTCAATGACCGATAGATTAAAAGAAAATATAAATGTTATTATTTGTTAATTTTTTAATAAAATATTTTGAATGATATAATTTTAAAAATTAAAAAGAATAAATTTAATGAGATGAAGAAAGTATGATTTAAAATTAATTTAATTAAATTTCATTTTAAAATTATAACAAGTGTTTCGTGATAACATTTGTCTTATATAGAAAATATATTAGTTCTTTCGATGATTTATAAAATGTTTTTATAAATAAAAAGTCAAACAAAAGCATTAATTATAATGGAGGAAAAGAGAAAGTGTTCATATAAAATGTTGTGGACGTTTGGAAATTTTGTGGCCGCAAAAGGTTTATTACTTTTGAAGAACCAAAAAGTCTACGGTACTCATTCTTTAAAGTTAAGTCTACTATATGAATTAGTTAAGGTAAAGTCTTAAGAAATTGAAAAGATAATTTCAAAAAAAAATAATATCAAAAATATTTATCTTAATTAGATTTTGTGCTATTCATAACAAAAATATTTTATGAAAAATTATTTAATAAATGATTAACAACAAATTTATGTATATGCAAATTCATCAATCTTGTTTTGATTTTTTATTAATATTTTAGTTATTTTATTTCAATAAACTATACATTGGTATGAAAGGACAAAAAACTTATGAATTTTTATTCAAATAACTAAATTGAGAGATTCAATCCTTTAAAAATATTCCGATATTAAATTAGGGTAAAGTATACAAATGGTCCCTCGATAATAGAGTGATACTTTATTGAGTTCCTCGACTATTAAAAGTTAAAAATTGGTTATCGACTACAATGCATTGCTTTTGTTGAATCCTTTGACTATTAAAAATTGCAAAGTAGTATATGTTCTAAGTACTCCAAACCATTTGATAATGAACGCTTAATCACCTCTGCAGTCACTAATACTCGAACCCGTAACCTCTAAAAACAATAACGATTTTTTTAACCACTGAAATAAATTGGTTTGTGCTTAATTTAGTCAATTAAATCATTTTTTCAACCATGTCAAGAACTAGTTTTCGTGTGTGAAACAAATAATGGTTTATAGGGAGAAAATTTTGATATAAAAAGAAGAAGCAAGTAAACCCCCAACATTTTGGGCGTAAATCATGGAGAAACTGAACATCCCCGTAATGTCATTGAGTGTAGTGCTACATTTCCCCCATTCATTGCAATTAAAGTTCCTCACACCCTCAAAACAAAACTATCCAACATCAAATATCAATAGAGCTGGGTATATGGGCTAAAGCCCGCGGGCTACCCATTTAACCTGCGACCTGTACGGATTCCGGGTCTCAAAAACTAAAGCTCGTTTAAATTGCGGGCTTATTAGCTCGGACCGTTAAATCCGTGGGTTTAATGGGTATACTCGCGGGTAGCCCACTTAATTTAATTATTTTTTTAATTTATTTTATGTTTTACGGAGGACAATTCACGTTTAGCCCAATTCACGTTTTATGTGCATTTTAGCCATAACCTAATTCACGTTTTATGTGCACTGAAATCTGAAGCTCAATTCACGTTTTAATTTGATGATATCCAATTTTGAAGTTCGAACGTATTAATTTTACCTATGGTAACATAATATGATAGCATAAGCAAAAAGATTTTCATCTTTTTATATATGTATTTACCATTTATAATTAATACCATCAATATATATATAAATAAGACATAAAACGTTTATTATATTCCAATAATTAATCATAAGAAAAACTATATACATATACGTTAAAAAAACAGAAAAAAAAATAAAGTATTAAACCATGTATAAATATAATAATTAAATTAAAAAAGTAAGTAACATAATGTGCAAATATGCAAATAATATATAAAACTTGAAGCAGTGATAAAAAAACATACATAAAATTGGAGTGCAAAATTAAAATAATAAAATATATTTGAGGATTATATTGCATTAATTCAAAAGTGGGTGGAGCCCTTACACGATTATCACATTAAAACTTGTCATGGTTGCTCTAAATCCCTAAAATATATTGTTTTGGGTGACTTATATTATATATACGCCGTTATAAAATTTTAGGAACCATAGCCTCATTTTTTTTTTGTTTCCCTTCTCCGTCGTTTCTCTCTATCTCCCCAACTTCTCTCTTTTTTCACATAAACAGTAACAGTAAACGGGTAAGCCCCTTTAGCCCGCGGGTTAAATGAACGGGTCGCGGGCCTTAGAATTTAAGACTGTTTATGATTGTGGACTTTTAAACCGCTCCGTTTAAGCCCGCACCGTCAAAACTTGCAGGCTAAACGGGCGGGTAGCCTGTATACCCGCTCTAAATACCAATGTAATTATGTTGTTATTAGACATGTAAACTTTAACTCCAATTTAAAATTCTGATCGAATTAATTTGAACTTAAATTTAATTTATTTCGATTTGATCATTAAAAGATAGGATAAACTACACGAGTGATCACTTTCACTTAAGTTTTGTATTTTTTTTCCTCACTGAATTCAAAAAACATAATATTTGGTAATTTTGTTTTTATTTAGTTAAGATTTGATCACTTTCATTTTTATTTAATTAATATGTGGTCACTGAGGGTTAATTGTCGTTAGACCTTTAACGGATTGTTAATGTGGCACAGGGAATTTATAAACTTAATAAAATTAAACTACACAAACGGCCACTAATGTTTGAGTAATTTTTTTTCCCATTGAAGTTTAAAAATTAACAAATAGGTCATTGAACACTGATTTTATATTTAATTTATTGCAAAAGTTTTCTAAATTTTTGTTTGTCATTCGAAATATTTGATTGCTTCATGTCCAAAAGGGTTATTTTCTAAGTTTTATTTTTAAAATTTAATATATATATATATATATATATATATATATATATATTGGAAAATGAAAACTTACTCAGACACTAGTGACCATTTGTGTAGTTTACCCTTTTTAATTTTAGTGACCAATTTATTACTTTTGAAATTTTAGTGGGGAAAATGAAAACTTACTCAAACACTAGTGACCGTTTGTATAGTTTATCTTTTTTAATTTTATAAATTCAGTGTGTCACATCAATAATATATTAAATGTCTAATTGCAGTTAACCCTCAATTACCACATCTTAATTAAATAAAAACGAAAGTGATCATATATTATGTTTTTATGAATTCAGGGAAAAAAGTATAAAAAACTTAAACAAAAATGATCAATCTTGTAGTTTACTCTAAAAGATATGTTAAGTTAATCGATCGACGGAATCGGCCAAGAGGGGGTGAATCGGCAATTAAAATTTTGGTGGAAGCTTTTGCAGAAAATTGAAAGTAATTGCACAGCGATTTAGAGTGGTTCGACTTTCTCAATTAAAGTCTACGTCCACTACCTTAGCTATCCACACTAAGGATTTTCCAACAAATTCACTAATTTGTTCTTACTTTTAAGGCCAACGAGATAACCTTACAACTCCCTCAAGAATATACCACAATTCTTGAGAACACTCTTTCTCAAAGAGAAGATTACAAATTTGCAAACTTACAAGGAAATCCTCACAAGGTAGATTGTTTGCACAATTCTAGAACAAAGAAAATAACACTCAAAAATGAATACAATTGAGTACAAGTAGTGTTCTTGAAAGCAAAATGAATATTGAATGAAAAAATAGGCTTGAAATGCTCAAACTTGAGGTTTGATGCTTTCTCTTTGATTCTCTCTTGATTCTTGTTGATTGTTGTTTCTTGTTATTGATCAATGGCTTCTAAGCTTGTTTAAATACACCTTCAAATGATTCTGAACATTGGGGATGCTTAGTGGAGTCAATAGAGTCGTTTAAGTGTGAAAACAATTAATTAAAGCAGTTGGGAGCGTCAGTGCATCGATGCATATCCATGGCGTATCGGTGCATCAGTGTAAAATTCAAATATTTTGATCGTTGGATCCTTAGTGCATCGGTGCACTAAGAGTGCATCGATGCATCAAGTGCATTCGATGTTTCAAAATAGCCAGAGTGCATCGATGCATGGCTGGTGCATCGATGCATCAAATGCATTCGATGTTTTCATAAAATCCTCAGTGCATCGATGCATGAAATGCATTCGATGTTCAATTTAATTCATGGTGCATCGATGCATGGATTGGTGCATCGGTGCACCACTTTGATAAATTGATTTTAGGCTTGATTTTGGTTCAAAATACTTTATGAAAATTGTTTCAAAAATAGTTTAAGTATAAAACACAATTTTACACATTTAGTAAGGTTTGAATTTGAACTTGAAAGACTTGGAGTAATAATTTGATATTCGATTAATTAAATCGAATATACTTAGAAAATCATTTGTAAAATCTTAAAATTCATTTAAACTTAATTTGTTATATCGAAACACAAAAATATTTTCAACAATCTCCCCCTTTTTTGATATAACAAAACATTTGTGTTATTTTAAGATTTTCTAAAATTTTGAAATCAATTTTGAAAAAGTACTCCCCCTTACTACAACACTTCTCCCCTTTAACACTTTTACACTTCTCCCCCCTTTTGTTAAATCAAAAAAGACAATAAAATGTTTTAAACAAGGTTTTGAAAAGCATACCCAATTGATTTTAAATATATATATAGCTTAAGTTGCTAAGATCACAATCAAAAGAGAGATTAGCCATTAGTTCCATAACCAATATTCATAAACAAATGTGAAATAGAATAATTGGTCATATATATCTAATGATGCAAAAGTAAGAAAATTCAACCAAACCAAATATATATATTAAGTTCAAA